GGATATTTATTTTTGTGGGTGTTTTGTCTGGAGCTGGTGTGCTTAGCTGCCTCCGACCCCAGAAAACCTGTCCCGTGGGCGTGAGAGGGCATTTGGTGGCCAGCCCCCACTTCTCCCTCCTTAGACCTTGCCCCCAAGCCAAGGCATGGGCTGGGCTGTACCGGGCCAGGTGGAGCAGAGGCTATTGGGTCGTCGCTCAGCCTGGCTCTCCGGCCTTTGGGAAGAGGAGCCAGGAGACGCGGCTCACGCCCTGTGCTCGCCCGCCCACCGCCCGCCTGCCTGTCGCAGGGCCTGAGCCGCCTCTGGGAGAGGAAATGCAGCCGGTTACCAATCGGGTTATTTTCATAACGGCTGTCTCAGGCTGGGGAAGGAGGGTGGCGAGGGGGAGGGGGCAGAGCAGCAGCCACAGCAGCTCACGCTCCAAACTAGGACTTGCTCAGCAGAGGCCGGCAGCCCGGAGCCGGAGCCATAGCCCGGCCCACGGGGACCCCAGCTCCCACCTGCGCCCTGCCTTCCAGATCAGGTCAAAAGGGGGTTCCCCCAGCCCCTCCTTGCCCTTTGCTTCCCCTCCCATGTCTGTGGGTGGGTCCGGGGAGGGGTGGGTCAGGGTGGGCCCAGGCACCACCATCCCTCGGTGAGGGTCTCTCGCCCTGCCAGGCCCCAGAAGCTGACGGAAAAGGGAAAGGTAAGGTTGAGCTCCTGCTCGAGCCAGGGCGGACCCTGTTGTGGTCGGCATTAATTGAGCAGGCCGCCTTCTTTACCATCCAGCCTGGCCCACCTGTTCCCTTGTACGTTTTTGTTCGCTTGTTTTGATTTTGACTGGCTCCCCAGAGTGCGTAGAGGCCTGGGAGATCAGCACCTGCCTCCCCTGCCCCCAGGCTGGCCTGGCATGGGCCAGCCTTCTTCCTGCTTCCCGACCTCCTCCCTCCTACGGGGGCCGTGGGAGCAGAGGGAACAGAGGTGGCTTCTGGCCAGCAGCCCCTGGGGAGGCAGCTCCAGGCCCTTGCTCTGTGCTGCTGTAGGTGGGGTCACCATGCACCTTACCCAGCCTTCAGTGAGTGGGGTGTGTGCGGGGGCCGCAGCATGGAACGAGCTCTCTGGTTGAACCCCACGGGTGGCCCGTGAGAGCATCTCTGGGGGCAAAGGAGTCCCTGGGGGCCAAGCACGATACCAGCAGCAGAGGGCATTCCATACAGCATGAGCAGACACCCAGGTGGCACCAGCTGCTGGCTCTGTTCCTCATGCGGTGGCCACATTGGGCACTCCTGCTTCCCTTTCTGGGTTCCCACCCCTGCTGTGGACAGACAAAGGCAAGGAGGTGGCACTATCACATGCCTTATGGATGTGGGCCCTGTCGTGCCCCTGCTCTCTGCCAGGTATTGTCAGGTACCCCACCTTCATCATCGCATCAGAACCTCCCTTATGCACTCTTCTGAGCTAGGTGTATGATCCCCATTTTGCAGATGAGAAAATTGGGGTTCACAGGTTAGTGGATGAGCCCAGGGTAGCCATGGCAGATGCAGGATTCCAAAGCCCTTGAACTACCATAGGGTATGAGCTGGCCTGGGCTGGGAGGCTAGGAGGCCTGTCCGCTCCTGCCGGTAGCTGATGAGGCAGCAGCCCACCCACCCCGTCCCCAGGGGCAGCTCAGCTGCCTGCAGCCGTAGTTGCTGTCCCTCAGGAGTGTGTGGCCAGACACCACCGTGCCTGTCTCTTAGCATCCTTTGGCCTTCCACAGGCCCTGCGCTTGCCAGGCCCTGGTAGCCACCTGGAGGTTGATGGGGGCCCATGAGTCCTTTCCCATCCCGTCCTCCTGGGGTGTGACAGGCTCCCCACCAGGAGGCCAAGGGGCAGCCGTTTTGCCTTGCTGTTGGTGTCAGAGCCCTGTGGGGCCTTCTCCACTGACCTTTACATGTACTGTGTGGCGAGTTGGAGGTGACAGCGTGCAGTGAGAAGACGCCAATGTGCAGAGCTGTGCTATGGGAGAGGCCTCAGGCCCAGGCTGGGCTTCTACAAGGCCCAGGAGCAGCCCCAGCAGAGATAGGAAGTGAGGAGTCAGGCACTTGCTGACCAGAGGACAGAGGTTTCTATGGAGACCAGAGGAACAGGAAACATGGGGCCAAGGGGGAGGGACACTGGGAGCACAGGAGCCTGGGTGCCTGGCAAAAATGTCATAAAATCATAAAGTGTCAAATCAGCCAGTCTGACAGCCTCCTTGCACAAGTAAGGAAACTGAGGCCCATGAGGAGAGGGCTTTGCATGTGGTCATGCAGCACTGGCTGGCCTGGCCTGCCTTGCTCTCTGCTGGCAGGGACTGCGTGTCAGGCCGCTGAGGAGACTCTGGACAGATGTGGACATGGGGCTGGTGCTGCGGGAGCACCTGCAAGTGGCCCCATGTCGCCAGGGTGCCCTAGCCCTGTTGTCAGTATGTGTCTGGGGCAGCAGGCAGGGCCCAGCCTTTACTACCACCCACAGAGCGCAGCAGCACCTCCCCCACGCTGACTGTGGCCTTTTGTTTTCTGGGTGACACTAGCATCAGGCGGTGTGTCCGGGTGACTAATCTCCTCCAGGCCAGGCAGCTGTCACAGGGCGGCCTGACCAGACAGGCGGGGAAAGTGGACACCCTGGCGGCAGCGGGCAGCCAGGCCTTCCGGCTCCTCTTTCCCAGGTGCAGAGCAGACCTCTAGTCAGGCAGACCCGGGTTCAGGTCCCAGCCCTGCCATCAACTGGCCATGTGGCTGTGAGCATGTTACTGTGCCTGTTGGAGCCTCAGTTTCCTCCTCTCTGTAGTGGAGCGGCTGGTCCTGCCTACATCAGGTACTGATAGGGATCCAATGAGACGATAAAGTGCCGGTCACGTAGCAGGTCTTCAGTACGTGGGATTGTTGTTGTTCTGTGGTTCCCTTCCCATCCTGTCCTGGCCTCGAGGCCCAAGAGGAAAGCCCCCATGCCCCACCCACCACCCACCTCTGAGGTGCAGGCTTTGCCATCAGGTGGACTTGGGTTCCAACACCAGCCCCGTGCTGACTTGCTTGGACTCTAGCCATGTCACCTCTCTGCATCCCCGTTTCCTCATCAGGAACATAGGGTAAGCCAGTACCTACTCCTTGGGGTCGCTGGGGTTTATAAAACGTGCCTGACACGTGGTAGGCTCAGTAAAAGCCATGATGACACTGCTTTTAGGAGGAAGCCAAGCGCTCTGTACGTGCCCGCTCTCCTACCCTGGAGCTCCCTCCTGCCCAGTTGGTCTGGTTTGAGTGGGGCACCTTTTGGAGTCATGAGACCACTGCCCCAACCTTCCTGTCATCTGCAGCAGCTGGGGACTCTTGGTAGGCAGAGACCCATAACTGGGCCGCCTCAAACTCTGCTTCCCCAGGCACAGCTGTCTGCACTAAGCGCTGGTCACCGACACACAGAGGCTGCAGGCCGTCCACCTCACACCCAGCACCCCTGCACCCGGCCCGAAGCTGCCTGCTCCAGGCCCACAGGGCAGGAGCAAATCAAAGAGCAGGGCGGGAGGAAGGAGAAGGTGCTGGACGTGCGGCCCTGACCCGACTCCTAGAGCTACCATTTCGGCCTTAATCCTCCCTCCCACCCACGGTTTCCCAGGGCACCGCTCATCATGCCTAACTTCTTCCAGGCCTTCAGCAGGCCAAAGTATGTCTCCTGCCAGCCCCAGGCAGCACTGTCCCATGGCTGTGGCTCGAACCTTGGTAGCTGCCAAGGGCTAGGATGCATCCCTCTATCAGCCTCTCTCCCCAGGCTCAGGGGCCAGGGCCCAGGAGAGCCCCTGATGTGGGACACAAGTGGCCCTTGGCACCTGGCCCTCGCCACCCTGAACCATACCTGGCCTCCTGCCCTTCCCCACCGTTAGAAGAGGTGAGGGCACAGGAGCCCGGCTGGTGGCCTGTGAAGAAGGGAGGCGCAGGGAGGAGGTGAGCTGATGGGAGCAGGTTCAAGTTGGCTGTTGCAGCAAGGACAGTGCCCACAGCTCCTGCCTCCCTGTCGGAGGGAGCTCTGGGTAGTTCAGCGTTTGGAATTGTGAGCATTGGGGCTTCTAGCATCAGGGCCCAGGATGGTGTGCAGGTCATAGGCTCCCTCGACGGCAGAGCAGGAAGGGTTTCCAGGCATCACCCAGCACTTCACACGTGGGGTGTCCATACTCTGCCCCTTCAGAAAGGTGAGACAGAGCAGTTGAGTACCAGAAAGTTCCTACCCTCAGCCCTTCACATGTACAGATGTGCACACACCTACAATCCAGAGGCTTTTCTTGTGGCTCAAGCTTCCCGTTGCATCTGCCTGAGTAAAGCAAGACTGGCACTGCCCCCTCCCTGCCGAGCCAGCGGCTCTCCAGTTCTTTGAGGCCTGGTTTCCCCAGGGCCTTCGACCTCAACCTCTGAACCAAATGTCAGACCCTCTCCATTTCTGGGCACCACCCTCAGCCTGAGCAAGGCTGGGGGCTGAGAGAATCTGGGGGTCTTGTCAGGACCGAGTTCCCTTGCAGAGAACCTCGTTTTGTCAACATAGCTTGGTTTGTGCCATACCCCAGGAGGGGAAACCTAACCTCCCCAATGTGGGTGGCAAAACAAAGGCCCGACGAGAGGGAAAACCTTGCCCCAGGCCCCACAGTCTGTCTAGGCAGACTCTCACTCCCAGTTTCCTTTTTCTTTTCTTTTCTTTTCTTTTCCATCAGCTTCTGGCAAGGGAGGCGAAGTCCTTTAGGCCCAGGGCTTTGTAGATTATGGTGCCTGGGCAGGGGAAGGTGGGGTGGGCAGCCTGAAGCTCCCTCCTCCCTAGGACTCCTGGGACAGCCTAGGGTACAACTGGGGAGAATGTCAGTGTTCCAACAGCTGGCACCTAGAGCACCCCATTCACGGAGGTCAGAGGCCACAGCTACCCCTCCCGACTTCCCAAGTGTCCCTTCTCTGCTTGTGGGTGCAGCATGGGCCAGTTGCTGATGCTCCGGGTCTCTGCCCAACAGCCACGTGCCTGCCCCTGCCATGGAAACCTTCTTTAAGAGACACTTCCAGCGGAGGGCGCCAGGCCCTGGAGAGGGGAAGCGGCGGCCCAGTGGCGTGGGGCTGCCCACAGGCAAGGCCCGGCGCCGCTCCCCGGCGGGGCAGGCCTCCTCCTCGCTGGCACAGCGGCGCCGCTCCAGTGCCCAGCTCCAGGGCTGCCTCCTGAGCTGCGGGGTGGGCGCCCGGCGTTCGCGCCGCCGGCGCTCCAGCACCGTGCCCCCTGCCTGCAACCCCCACTTCACTGTGGAAGAGGTGCCCACCTCGCAACTGGCTACTGTTGAGGCCCAGCTTCTGGGTGCACCCCTGCTGTTGGCCAGGCTTGCGGGCATGGAGGAGGAGGAGGGTGTCCAGGAGGAGGATGTGGCAGCTGGCACATCAAGTGCCACCCAGCCAGGCACCACGACACCAGGGCCACCCCCACACCGGGGTGCCTGGCCAGTGCTGCCCATGCCCCGTTGCCTGCGCCGAGGCTCCTCCCACCTGCTCCCCGCGGACGCGGTGTATGACCACGCTCTCTGGGGCCTACATGGCTACTATCGGCGCCTCAGCCAGCGTCGACCCTCAGGCCAGCAACCTGTCCCCGGGGGCCGAAGAGCCTCAGGCACCCAGGCTGGCCCCGTGATGCCAGCCTGTGTGCGTCCGCTGTCCCGCCGGCGCCAGGTAGCCCTACGGCGCAAGTCAGCTGGACCCCAGACCTGGAGCGCCCTGCTTGCGTAGGTATAGCGGCAGCCAGAAGGGCGAGTGGTGTGCCTCCGGGGGTCTGGCACGGGCAGGAGCCTTGAAGCTCTGTGTGGCCCAAGGGCACCCCACTTAGGAACAGCTCTGGGCAGTGCCTTGAAGCCAGCACACTCTGAAGGGCTCTTGCAGGGTCCTCTCAGCCTCTGGAGCTGCTGTGAGGCTCCTTGACCCTCCCTGATGCTGTCGCTGCCTTGGCCTTGCGTCGAGGTCGTGGTGAGGGCAGAGATCCCAGGTGGTGGGGGAGGACGTCGAGTCAGGAAGTGCTCAGCCTCGAGCAAGCCTCAGCTGTCTCCTCTTCTGTAGGAAAGCCATCACCAAGTCGGGCCTCTCGCACCTGGCGCCCCCTCCCCCTGCCCCCGGGGCCCCCTGTGGCGAGTCAGAGCGGCAGATCCGGAGCACTGTGGACTGGAGCGTGAGTGGCTGGTGCTGGGAGGGACAGTGCCTGGACAGCGCTGGGAACCAGCTCTGTTGGGCTCTGGGCCATGGCGTAGTTGGGGGTGGAGGTGCTGTGGGCAACTGGGTGAGGACCCGTGGGCAGAGCTCCTGGAGGTGACTGCATTTGAGACAAGCCTTAAAGAGTGGGGACAGTAGGGGAAACGGAACAGAGTAAAGTCTGGAGCAGAAGATCTGTCTTGGCAGGGGGCAGGTGGTGGGGCTGGGCAGCAGGCATACACTGAGCATGCTCGTCACGTGCCGTAGGAGTCAGCGACGTATGGGGAGCATATCTGGTTCGAGACCAACGTGTCCGGGGACTTCTGCTATGTTGGGGAGCAGTACTGCGTAGCCAAGATGCTGGTGAGTGCGCCCTTCGTGCATGCTGCCCCCTGGTGGTGGAGCCTGTAGCCCTGACTGTGCAGCCCTTGCCGGCAGGTGGCAACAGGCCCTGGCCTGAGCACCCCCACTGTGGGCTGCCCCAAGATGGTGAGGGCATGGGAGCTTTGTCCTGGTGCCAGGCGCCAGGACTGGGGTTCCTGGCACACAGAGGGCCTGCCCAGAAGCAGCATCCGGGATAGTTACCTGGTGCCTCAGGGGCCCTCTCTATCGTGCAGCAGAAATCAGTGTCCCGGAGAAAGTGCGCAGCCTGCAAGATCGTGGTGCACACCCCCTGTATCGAGCAGCTGGAGAAGGTGAGTGTGGTGGTTCGACCTTTCCCACTCCTCCCCTTCGGGTACCGAAGCCCCCTCGGCACGCGTGCGCGCACACACACGCGCCCCTCACACACACATCACCTGCCAGGAGTGGCCCAGCATGCGTGGTGGTGGAGAGCCAAGGACCCTGGAGCCAGCATGCCTGCATTTGAATCCTGGCTCCCCCCATGTATTGTGTCCCCACTGCCTAGAACAAGCCTGGCACAGAGTGGGTTCACTGACCATCACTTGATGGAATGAATTAACGAACGATGGCCAGGATACCATCCCCTCATGTCCAAACTAACACTTAGAAGAGGCCGTTGATTTGCTGAAGCTTCACAGCTCAGCTGTGGCTGGGCTAGTCGCCTACACGCTGCCTCTGTAGAAACCTTCCCCAAAGACCCTCGTCCACAGTGTGTCGGCCTCTGGGGGCACGTCTGCTGCGCTTCTAGAGGGCGAGTCAAGGCGGAGCGTGGAAGGGTTTGCATGGAAGATCAGGGCTCCCAGCCTGCAGAAACCTAGGCCAGCACACAGGAAACCCGAGACCAGGAATGGCTTGAGCGGAGCTAGCTGCTTTCACCAGCCTGCTAAACTGTAGACTGAGGTGACACCTCTTCTAAGGCTGAAGGAGGGACAGTTAGGTAAAGGGAGATAGAAATGCAACCCTGCCAGGTGCAGTGGCACGTACCTGTGGTCCCAGCTATTAATACTTGCGAGGCTGCAGTGGGAGGATTGCTTGAGCCCAGGAGTTCAAGGCTACAGTGAGCTGTGACCATGCTTGTGAATGGCCTGGGCATCATAGTGAGACCCATCTTTAAAGAACAAAGAAAAAAGAAAAAAAAAAAAAAAACAGGAAATGCAGCCCTAAGCATTGTAGACCCATCATGTGAGGTAAAAAATCGAACCAGGGTTCAACAGATTAACTAAAGGTCTCCTGGGGCCAGTCAGCACAAGTCTTCAAGGAAGGGTTGGGTCGGCTGCGTGTGCCCGGGTGGGGGGAGCTGGAGGAGGACCAGCAGGATGGGTAAACTGCAGCCCCATTTCAGTGGGGAGACAGACTCGAAACTCCCAGTCTTTCCTCATCCTGGGGTCCTGGGCAGAGGAAGGAAAGGTTCCTTCTGGCTAGTGCGGAGGACAGGGATGTGGGAGGGCTTCTGAGAGGAGGTGTCCTATGTTCTGAGGGCTCCCAGGATGATCTAGGGGCATCTCTACCTTGTGAGGATGATGCTGGGTAACCCTCCCCTGGAGGGGTCACCATATACCGACACCACAGGGAGGTTCTGACGTTTTGGTGGTCACTGCAATGTTTTGCAGATAAATTTCCGCTGTAAGCCATCCTTCCGTGAATCAGGTTCCAGGAACGTCCGTGAGGTGAGTGCCCAGAGTGGTCAGTGACAGGGACACCCCAAGTTTCCCGAGTGGACCTCTCCACAGTGCCTCTGAGTGCCACCAGGGGGCTCGGCTCCAAGGCAGCCCTTGGCTGGGGGAGCTGCCCAGCTGAGGCTCTGAGGTCTCCATGCAAGGCCTGGCTGGCCCTGCCTGCAGAGGGGTGGGCAGCATGTGCCTCCCAGCTCTGTCCCCCTGAGTCACAGCTTCCCCTCCGGGCTGTGGAGAGAAGTCTTCAGCCCCTCCTCAGCTCCTCACAGCACTGTGGAGAGCTTCCTACAGCCCCCAGCCCTCACCACTGATGTACTCAGAGGCGCCGACCATGCTCAGGGCTGTGCCCCCAGCTACGCCTCACCCACCCAGTGATATCTCTCCCCTCCTCCCCCAGCCAACCTTTGTACGGCACCACTGGGTCCATAGGCGACGCCAGGACGGCAAGTGTCGGCACTGTGGGAAGGTGAGAGGGCCTGCCTGAGACATCGCTATGTGTTGTCCGTGGGGCCCGAGACCCCGCGCCTGTGCTATGTGTCCAGCACGGCCTGTCCGTCCGTCACCAACCGCGCCCCGGAGTGCGGAGCCCAGGGCTGACTCGCGGCCTGGCTACCGTGCCAAGTCAGTCCTAAAACTCCCTGGCCTGCTCTTGGTCTCTGGGCTGAGCAGAAGCTACTCATGCAGTGTGTCTGGCCTGCTTTGAAGTCACGAGTGACCCCTTTGAGAGTCATATAGATTTGCTTATTTGTTAAACTCTGCCGATGCTCGTTGAGTGTGTATTGCGTGAGGACAGTGTGGCTCAGAGACAGACTCTCCAGATGTTCTTCCCCTAGCGCAGGCCACAGTTGTTTTGTGCACTTACTTGTCTGCTGCTTGTCTTCTCCCTCAGTAAGGGGAGGCTCTCAAAGGTGTATTGGTGGCCAGGAGCTGTGACTCATGCCTGTCATCCCAACACTTTGGGAGGCTGAGGCAGGAGGATCACTTGAGGTCAGGAGTGCGAGACCAGCCAGGGCAATATAGCAAGACCCCATCTCTACAAAAAATAGAAAAATTAGCCAGGCATGGTGGAGTGAGCCTGTAGTTCCAGCTACTTGGGAGGCTGACGCAGGAGGATCACTTGAGCCCAGGAGTTTGAGGCTGCAGTGAGCTATGATTGTGCCATTGCACTCCAGCCTGGGTGACAGTGAGACCCTGTCTCCAAAAAAAAAAAAAAGAAAGAAAGAAAGGAGCAGAGGCACACGCCTCCATTTATTCTCCGTGTCTGGCACAGCACCTGGCACTTAGGAGGCCCTCGACAATTGGTGGAATGAGCCAGGAATGAATGTGATAGGCGCTCTGAAGGAGCAACCAATTAGACTAAGAGCACACAGGGGCCTGGCCAGGCCTGAGGGGCAGGAAGGAGGGAAAATGTGAGTTAGGCAGGAGTGAGCTTGTGCCGCGCCAGCAGAACGTGTGTGCGCCCCGTGCTTCCCGGTTAACTGCAGGGAGTCGTGGGCCCCTGGCTAAGCATCCCTGCTCTGAGGGCTTTTTATAGTTGTTTTCATTTTAAAAAATGTGCTCAGTTTCCCTGGGTGGACAGAGGTTGGTAGCAGGAGAGGGGCTGGGGCAGCTGCTCTAACCCTCCTGTGCCCCAGACTTCCCGTCCACCCGCAGGGCTTCCAGCAGAAGTTCGCCTTCCACAGCAAGGAGATTGTGGCCATCAGCTGTTCCTGGTGCAAGCAAGCAGTGAGTGTGCTCCTCTGTCCCCCAAGGGCCATCCCCTGCTCAGCACCAGGTCTGGGTCCCGAGGCTCAAGCGTCCAGCTCAGCCCAGCCCCTCCCTGTCCTCCAGTACCACAGCAAGGTGTCCTGCTTCATGCTGCAGCAGATCGAGGAGCCCTGCTCCCTGGGCGTCCACGCGGCCGTGGTCATCCCGCCCACCTGGATCCTCCGTGCCCGCAGGCCCCAGGTGAGTCCTGCCTACGCCCTTGACACACCCCCATGCTTGGGGTCTGCCAGCCACCCCAGCCTGCCCACCTTGTCACCACGCCTCTGCTTCCCTTACAGAACACCCTTAAGGCCAGCAAGAAGAAGAAGCGAGCATCCTTCAAGAGGAAGTCTAGCAAGAAAGGGCCTGAGGTTAGACCAGGGCAGGCAGGAGTTGGAAGGGGAGCGGGAGTGGAGTTTCTCGGAGCTAGGAGCCCCCGGGGCTGGTGCTGCCAGCTCTCGGGGGCAATTTGGGTTCTGGGGCCCTCGAGGAGGGTGGGAGATTAGGTCCCAGTTGCCTGTCTAGGGCCTGGCTTGCCATGAGGTCTGACCCAGAGCTGGTACACGAGGGTGTGCCAAGGGTGACGAAGTGTCACCCAGGGGGCTGCTGAGGATGGGGGTAGGGCCTCCAGGACAGGAAATGGCCTCACAGACTCTCTGTGTCTCCAAGGAGGGCCGCTGGAGACCCTTCATCATCAGGCCCACCCCCTCCCCCCTCATGAAGCCCCTGCTGGTGTTTGTGAACCCCAAGAGTGGGGGCAACCAGGTAGGCACAGCCTTCCCTCTCAACTGAGCTCTGGGTAGGGCTTGGGGTCAAGCCACCTGCCTGCTGCTGTCCCCAGGGTCCCTTTCTGGCTCTGTCCCAGTCCCTCTTTCCCAGGGATCCTGAGAAAGTCCTGTCTCCACCCCTGCCCCTCACCCTTTTGGACCAGGTCCCATGGCCATAGCCTTGTCCCTGTGCGTTTCCTACTCTGCCCTCCCCTGCTGCCCCCTGGTCCCCTTCCCACACCTCTTGGCTCCCTCTCCCCCACAGGGCGCTAAGATCATCCAGTCCTTCCTCTGGTATCTCAATCCCCGACAAGTCTTTGACCTGAGCCAGGGAGGGCCCAAGGAGGCGTAAGTACTGCCCAAGGCTTTGTGGGGGACCGTGGAGGGGGCTTGCCTGGCTCTTGGGGTACGGTGAGCATCCCCTGACCCCATTCCTGTCTCCCCTGGCTCCAGGCTGGAAATGTACCGCAAAGTTCACAACCTGCGGATCCTGGCGTGCGGGGGTGACGGCACGGTGAGCTCCCCCCACGGAGCCGGGCTGTGAGGGTGGGGCCGAAGCCCCGGCCCCCGCTGGGCCTGAGCTGGCTCCTCCGCTCTGCCCTCCTCCAGGTCGGCTGGATCCTCTCCACCCTGGACCAGCTGCGCTTAAAACCGCCACCCCCTGTCGCCATCCTGCCCCTAGGGACTGGCAACGACTTGGCCCGCACCCTCAACTGGGGTGGGGTAAGCACCCACAGGAGGGCTGGGTGGCGCAGCAGGGGGTCTCCAAGGCTCAGCCCCTGCTTCCTCCCCGCAGGGCTACACAGACGAGCCCGTGTCGAAGATCCTCTCCCACGTAGAGGAGGGGAACGTGGTGCAGCTGGACCGCTGGGACCTCCGTGCTGAGCCCAACCCCGAGGCAGTGCCTGAGGAGCGAGACGAGGGCGCCACCGACCGGGTGCGTCGGCCAGGGGTTGAGGTCTGGGAGTCCGGGGTTCCCAGGAGGCCTGGGCTGGGCCCCACTTTCCCACTTGCTGGGAACCTTGGCTGAGACCTTTGGCTGAGTCTCTTCGTTTCTCTAAACTTCTGCTTCTGCCTTTGCGTGATGAGAATGGTGGCACTCACCTCACGAGACAGTTTTTGGTTCAGCAAATCCTTACTGAGTACCTACTCCCTGCCGGACACTGCCATCAGCAGTGAGCAAAACAGAGTCCCCACCCTAATGGAGCTCAGCACATCGTGTGCAGGGAAGTGCTGGGGGCCCGGCAGGGAAGAGGTATCACCAGCACCGGGGGGAGCCCCACCCCAAGGAGCTGGGGGCAGAGGTCAGGTGGATGTCATTGACCGCAGGAAAGGCCTCTAAAAATGGACGGGCTGAACAGGCATGTCCCCCTGTGCAGGGGACATCTGTGAGGCTCAGCCCTCATTGTGACCTTTGACCATGACCTTTTTCTAGCTGCCCCTGGATGTCTTCAACAACTACTTCAGCCTGGGCTTTGATGCCCACGTCACCCTGGAGTTTCACGAGTCTCGAGGTTGGTAGCCTCCTGCTGAGGCTCGGGGAGGCCAGGGCGGTGTCCCTGAGGAGGGTCAGACTTGCTCCAACCAGTGAAAGTCATTCACTCCCAGCCCTCCCTCCCTCGCTACCCCAACCTGGGAGGTGGCGCCAGGCTCACAACGGCTAACTGTCACCGTTTCTTGTCTCCACCCAGAGGCCAACCCAGAGAAATTCAACAGCCGCTTTCGGAATAAGATGTTCTATGCCGGGGTGAGTCTGGGGTCTGCCCGCACCTCCCGACGCCCACCTGTATTCTACCACACATGCCCCTGCCCACCTGTGTCCCCCAGACCGCAGGAGCCCTGCTGGGTGGTGGTGAGGAAAGAGCTCTGTCACCAGATGGTGACGCCCTCTGTCTCCCACAGACAGCCTTCTCTGACTTCCTCATGGGCAGCTCCAAGGATTTGGCCAAGCACATCCGGGTGGTGGTGAGTGGGGCCAGGGCTGGCAGGCAGAGCGGGTGGCCCAGCAGGGAGGGAGGCCGCCTTGGCACATGTGGCCCCCAACTTCCTCCGCCATTCCTGCCTCCAGTGTGATGGGACAGACCTGACCCCCAAGATTCAGGACCTGAAACCCCAGTGCATTGTTTTCCTGAACATCCCCAGGTGAGGAGGGGAGGACTCCGGGGGGCCCTGCTGTCCCCACCCTGCAGAGACTGTTTTGCAGCCCCTCATCGCCCTGCCTCCAGGTACTGTGCAGGCACCATGCCCTGGGGCCACCCCGGGGAGCATCACGACTTTGAGCCCCAGCGGCACGATGACGGCTACCTCGAGGTCATTGGCTTCACCATGACATCCCTGGTGAGTGGCCCTGTGCCCATGTGCCTGGGAGCACGGCCTGCAGCTGGGAGGGGAGTCACCCACACTTCCCTCCTTGTCCAGGATGGGAGAGTTCACCGTCGCCTCCCTGCTCTGCCTGTCACCTCTCTGACGGGAGGGTGACTCTCAGCCTTTCTCCTTTTCATGTCCAGGGGAAGCACCCTCGTTGCCTCTGTCCTGCCCACTGCCCGGCTGGGGTCTCACCCTCCCCTTTGCTCTCTGTCCAGGGGTCACTGTCACCTTTGTTCTCTGGCCAGAGCCTCCCTTGAAGAAGCAGAGCTTGGGGGGCCACCTGACCTGAGCTTCCTGTGCCCACAGGCCGCGCTGCAGGTGGGCGGGCACGGGGAGCGGCTGACGCAGTGCCGCGAGGTGGTGCTCACCACGTCCAAGGCCATCCCAGTGCAAGTGGACGGCGAGCCCTGCAAGCTCGCAGCCTCGCGCATTCGCATCGCCCTGCGCAACCAGGCCACCATGGTGCAGAAGGCCAAGCGGCGGAGCGCTGCCCCGCTGCACAGCGAGTACGTCCCACCCCGCCACCGTGTGTCGTGGGCGATAAGGCCAGACCCGGCCCCCGCCGGCCTTTGGTTTCCTCACCCTTAAAAGGGGACTGACAGTCCCTCTGCCCCAGGGCTGTTGGGAGTGGGGCAGGACGTCCTCTCAGGACTTGGTTTGCTGCCTGGCCAAGGACTGGCTCTGCCCTTGCTGAGTCCCCTCTTCCCGGCCCTGCCCGACAGCCAGCAGCCTGTGCCCGAGCAGCTGCGGATCCGGGTGAGCAGGGTCAGCATGCACGACTACGAGGCCCTGCATTACGACAAGGAGCAGCTCAAGGAGGCTTGTGAGCGGCAGCGGGGCTGGGGCAGGGGCTGGGGCAGGCCTCGGCTGAGGAGCTGCAGGGTCCCCTGAGGGCAGAGAGGTGGCTGCAGCTCGCTGCTGACAGCTGCTCTGTCCTCCAGCTGTGCCACTGGGCACTGTGGTGGTCCCCGGAGACAGCGACCTGGAGCTCTGCCGCGCCCACATCGAGAGGCTCCAGCAGGTAAGGGGTGGGGGCAGGAGCCTCCCCGGGTGCCGGCTCAGAGGGTGGTGGAAAGCGAGGCCTGGACTTGTCCTCCCCAAGTGAGCCTGCCCTCGGGAGCCGCCTCCGTGCTGCTCCCACCTGCTCTGAGTTCCCTTCCCTCCCAGCTCGGCCTTTGCTTCTCTCAACAGGAGCCCGACGGTGCTGGAGCCAAGTCCCCCACATGCCAGAAACTGTCCCCTAAGTGGTGCTTCCTGGATGGTGAGTCTGCTTTGAAGGGTCAGCCCCTGGCCCTCCCAGGCTCTGTCCTGCACCCTCCCCGGGGAGCCTGGGTGGGGCAGCAGAGGAGCGGGCCAGGCGAGACCTCCCTCCTCAGCCAGCCCTCTCTCCTGCAGCCACCACTGCCAGCCGCTTCTATAGGATCGACCGCGCCCAGGTGAGCGCTCCAGGCCTGCTCCAGCCACAGCGGGCTTCGCAGCCCCGGGGCACCCCTCCTGGGAAGGCTTCCCGGCTAGCTCCACAGACGGGCTCACCTCTGTCCTCACGTCCACACATCCCGTAGTGCATCCACACTTGTCTGTGTCCTCAGACAGAGCGTGGCCCTGCCCTCCAGGCTGGAGTGTGTGGGGATGGTGCCATCAGAAAAGGGAGCTGGTGTGCCCAGAAAAGGCTTCCTGGCTGGGCTGGAGGGCCTCGAAGCGCAGTGCCATCCAAGTAGACAGAGAGGGCACCTCTGGCCAGGTGCCAGAGCACCGGGGTGAAGGCTTGGCCGTGGGGCGAGGCGGCAAGGGGCCAGGACAGAGGCCAGGGACTGGGCAGGGGTGGCAGGAATGGAGAGGAGGGGGTTAGGGCAGGCAGGGGCTCTTGCCTGGCTGCTTCCCTCGGGCCCATGCTCACGGCCTGGGCTTCTTCAGGTCTGCCAGCCTCGAAGCCCCTTAGCTCCCACCGTCAGGCACCCTGACACCCAGCCTGACCTCCCCCCCCAGGAACACCTCAACTACGTGACTGAGATCGCGCAGGACGAGATTTATATCCTGGACCCTGAGCTGCTGGGGGCATCGGCCCGGCCTGACCTCCCAACCCCCACTTCCCCTCTCCCCACCTCACCCTGCTCTCCCACACCCCGGTGAGTCCCGGTGCCCCGGCTCCGCCATCCTCTGGCTTTCAGCCCCAGCCCCTCCACCGGGTGACTAAATGGCGTCAGCCCAAGCCTGGCCAAAGCCTCCCTGATGAGCCCCTGGCCTCACCTCACCCCACCCCTGCTGCTCAGGCCTCAGACCCAGGCTCCCTGCCTGACTCCTCTTCTCCCCGCCCCCCCACCTGATCCTTCAGGGTCTGGCAATCCTCCCGCCACCCCCAAACACTCCCCTTCCCACGGCCACCAGCCTGTCCAAGCCAGCACGCCCTGGCCCCGGCTCCCAGACTCCCCGCATTCACACGTGCCCCTCTGGCCCCGTGGCCTCCTGAAATGCAGGTGGGACCGGGCCCTCCCCAGCCCAGAGCCTTCTCCGCCAGCAGCCCTCAGTCGTGGGCTCTCCTCAGCTCCTGTCACGGCGTCGGGCTCAGCCTGGGCCTGGCTGCCCCTGGCCTCCCAGCCACCTGGGAGTGGCGTGTGTCCCTCCCCATAGTCCGGCCCCACTCACCTCCCTTGGTCCTTTGAGGCCTCAGGTTGGCCTTCCCCAGGACTTTGTCCCTGTTACCCTTCATTCCAATCCCAGTTGGGCCGTGTCCCCCTCAGAGAGGTCTTTCCCAGAATGCCGTATGAAGGGGCCACTCTTCCCGAGACTGCCCACCTGCACTGCCCTGTTCTGCTCTCAGGACACCTTATTTATTTGTTGACTTGCGTGTCTCCCTGCGCTAGAATGTAAGCTCGGTGAGAGCCAGTCCTCCATCTGTGTGTCCCCTGCTGTATCTCCAGTGCCTAGAATAGCACTTGGTATGTAGTAGGCACTCAATAAACTGCTGGAAGAATGAAAGGCACCCCAGTTGGGGCTGGGGAGGGACACCAGCTGGGCCTGTGCTGTCGCCAGTCACATCTCATCCTGCTCTGTTTGCAGGTCACTGCAAGGGGATGCTGCCCCCCCACAAGGTGAGGCCTCTCCCACCAGGGCCCCCCCTTTCCGCCCGGTCAGAGGCGTGAGGCCCAGGGTGGGGCAGGGCCCGCACACAGCCTCGCACACACATAGCTGCTGTTCCACGTGGGCAAGTTCACGTGGCAGCCCGGCCCCGGCACACTCGCCCTGGCAGGCACACTTCTCTGCACATACCTGTGATGTGTCCCACGTGTGTTTGTGCGCCAACACAAGCCTGGGCCTCCGCCCGCAGAGTAACAGGCAGGTGTTCTGTGCAGGTGAAGAGCTGATAGAGGCTGCCAAGAGGAACGACTTCTGTAAGGTACCAGCTCCAGGGCTCTAGCCTCCTCCCCTCGGCAGCACCTTCAGGCCCCGGGGAGTGGGGCCTCTGGGTTGGGCCAGGAGCTTACCTGTTCAGGTGCAGTCATCTGTCATCGCTGGCCGTCTGTGGGGCCTCCACAGTGATCGTCCCACTCCACCTTGCCCCATCTCTGTCCAGGCCACAATAGATGTCTCCTGGTAGGGGCTGCCTCTCACCAGTGCTCGGAAAGGAGCGAGTCTTAGAAGGAAGCACTAGCTCCAGGGCTTGGCTGTCAGTGCTGCAGGGGAGCCCATGGCCCCCCGGGGTGAGAGAGGCCCCTTGTCTCTCCAGAGACAAGGTGTACATGCCTGTGGCCCATGTGAGAGCTAGGGGAAGAGGAGGGGTGGCCCTTGGAGGCCCAGCCCCGCCCTGCCTCCTGCCCTCAGCTCCAGGAGCTGCACCGAGCTGGGGGTGACCTCATGCACCGGGATGAGCGGAGCCGCACGCTCCTCCACCACGCGGTCAGCACCGGCAGCAAGGAAGTGGTCCGCTACCTGCTGGACCACGGTGAGCTGTGCTGCTGGGGCCCAGGGTCCGGGGGCCAAGGCGGGAGGACGGGAGGCTGCCGGGCCTTTCTGACCACCTCTCCCCTCCTCTAGCTCCCCCAGAGATCCTTGATGCCGTGGAGGAAAAGTGAGTATCTGGCCAGTGCAGGACGCTGGTTACCCTGGAAACCACCCTGTCTTCCTCAGTCCCTCCCATTTGGTCAGATCAGAGCCTGTAAACTCTTCCTAGCCATGTGTTTCCTCCCCTGGGCCACTCCCCCTTGCGCCTGGGCCCCAAACTTCCTGCCCTTTCTGATGACCCCTGGGAGCCGGGTGGGCCCAGAGGACCAGATGGGGTCCACACCCAGCCCCGGCTCCCCCAGCGGGGAGACCTGTCTGCACCAGGCAGCAGCCCTGGGCCAGCGTACCATCTGCCACTACATCGTGGAGGCCGGGGCCTCGCTCATGAAGACAGACCAGCAGGTGAGCAGGGCGCGGGCAAGGAGCCTTTCCCAGACTTGGGGTGGGGCTGCCCCTGGGAAGTGGAAGCTGTCCGGCTGTCCTTCCATTAACACAGTCCAGAGAAAACTGAGCCGGCAGGCAGGGAGCTGTGCCAGCAAGGCCTCCTTGCCCCCTCTGAAGCCTGTTAGGGGCCACAGACTCGGGCCCCCGGCTGACCACTGCTCTGCCCTCCAGGGCGACACTCCCCGGCAGCGGGCTGAGAAGGCTCAGGACACAGAGCTGGCCGCCTACCTGGAGAACCGGCAGCACTACCAGATGATCCAGCGGGAGGACCAGGAGACGGCTGTGTAGCTGGGAGGCCCCCTGGGCAGCAGGAGGGACAGCCGGGCCAGAGGATGAGCTCCCTCCTTGCCCACCTCACTGCCACATTCCAGTCAGATGGCCACGGGGGGACCCATGCCCGAGGGAAGGAGCCCCGTGCTGCCCCCTGAGGAGCCGCCCAGACCTAGGGCTGGACTCTGAGGAGCTGGGGGTCTCGCCTGTCCCCCTGAAGCCCCAGCCGGACCCGGAGGCTCACAGGGGAACAGGAAATGGCTGGGCTGGACAGGCGTTTGGAGGGGACCAAGGCAGGGCCACTTCAGGGCGGCCTCACCCTCACTGCAGCAGATGCCCTCCGAGGAGTTCAGGGGCTGGAAGGGGGAGGGAGGCCTTCAGGAAGAGGCTTCCTAGGGCACCTGGTCTCAGGGCACGCAGCCCCCTCTCCTGCCTGACCCACCCTCCCCAGGGCTCCTCCCGGCAACTCCAAGCCTGCTGCATCTGCCTGCCGCTGCCCGCTTGGCACCCACCCCTGACCCTCCCCATTACCCGGTCATTTCCTCGTGGACTGTGGGGCCTGGGGTGGGGGGGCTCTCATGGTGACATGTTTACAGCTGGGTGTGACTCAGTAAAGTGGATTTTTTTTTTTCCTTTCTGCTTTTCTTCTTTTGCGGGAGAGGTGTTCTAGAAGCAGCAGGGGCTGCTGGGTTATCCTCAGGGTGGGGGACTGGACGCTGGACCCAGAGCCTTTCCTGCGGGGCGCGGGCTTTCCGGCCTAGGTTGGGGTCCCAGAGCCTTCCTGGTCCCTGACCTCTGCCCGGCTGCCTCGCTCATTGGGGCCGGGGGCGGAGCCGATTTCCTCCGGCTTCCCGCTTCCCGCGGGGACGGTAACAATGAAAGTGAAAGAGAGGTGGGGCGGGGGCGAGGCCTGTCGGTGGCCCACTTGCCCTGTGGCCTTGAGCACGCCCCCTCCCCCAGGCCTCGGCTGCTTTTCCTGTTTCGGGAGACCGGGTGAGGTGGGGCCTGAGGCCCGGGGTCAGAGGGGGTGGGCATCTCGGCCGCCGCAGAGGCCGGGTCTGGAACGTCTCAGACGGCTGTTGTCGAGCTCCAAGCTTCACCCACTCCAGGCTGCAGGCTCCCCCCGCCACGCCCCTTCACCCTGCGCTCCAAGAAAGCGCTGGCGCCCTCTGCACCCCACCCCAGCCCCCGGCCTTCTCCGGGGCTCCGGGTCCCAGGCTGCCCTCAACACAGCAGAGCATCTCCCTGCCCACTGAATGCAACCACCCGAGGGGACTCTGGGGGGCCAAGTAGGCCGTGGGAGGTGACGCGGGGCCCCGACAGAGTGAGACAGGCCCTGGGGATTCGCGGGCGCCGAGCCTGTGACCCGCCGGGATTCGGTGCCCCTTCTCGTTCCCACCTAAGACTCCGCTGCAGGCTAGGGGAGCTGCGGCCCGAAAGCGGCCCGGGCCGCTGGCGTCTGCAGGGAAAGGGGACGGCCCGGGACGGGGGCAGAGGGCGGGAGCCGGGGGAGCCGAGACTGGGCCGGGGCGGGACGGAGGCCTGGGCCCGGGAGAGCCGGGCTCAGAGGACGGGCGGCCAGGAGAACCGGGTC